CAGACCGCAACCCCGGGGGCGTCCTGGCCGGCGGGGCGGCTCCAGCGGGTCCCGGAGGGCCGCGTGGGTCCTGGGGGCCAGAGACAGCCCCACGGGTCGCCGAGGGGTAGTGCCGGGGATCCCGGGGACAGCCCCACATCCCAGTGGAGCAATCCCCACGCTAGCAGCACATGTCTCCCAGGCTGGGGTCCCCCTGCAGGCAGGCCTGGGGCTGCGGGCCACGGCCTCCGCCACATCCTTGCACCCCCATGTCCATAGACAAGACACCCTGTGCCCTCAGGACTTTCAGTGGTGTGCCAGGGATTGTGGGGGAGACTGTGCTGCTGGCGCATTGCTATAAATAGCTATGTAACAGTTGGAATTCGCTACAATTTATTCGCTTTTAGTAAATATTGTAATTGCTTACAAACACTTGTAAGTTTCAACTGCTCTTAGTTGTAAAAATAGCTGACAAAGACTGCCCAGTTCAAGTACAACAATACCCACTTTCTTTAAAGGAGAGAAAAGGATTGTATACAGTAATTCAAGAATTACTTAAGGATGGGACTTCAGAACCATGCATATCTCTTCACAATACACCTATATTACCAGCAAAGAAATTGGATGGAACCTACTGGTTTGTCCAAGACCTGACAGAAGTAAATAAAAGAAATATACATTGATACCCAGTAGTACCTAATCCCTATATTAAAATAAATAAAATCCCTCTATTGCATCAGTAGTTTAGTATAATAGACCTCAAAGATGCCTTTTGGGCTTGTCCCCTAACAGAAGAAAGTAAAGATATATTTGTTTTCACCAAATTATCCGAAAGATTTATCAAATCCTCTAAGTTATTTAGACAAGCCTTGGAAGAGGTACTGCAACATTTCCCTAGTGTGCCAGAGGTAAAACTTAACCCATATGTTGATGATTTACTTCTCTTAGGAAAAAACAGGAGGAAAAAGTCTGAGACTTTACTATAGAGTTACTAGGGGTTTTTTGGGAACCAAGGACTCAAACAACAATTGAAAAATTACATAGGCATCTTGAGGTTAGGAAAAACATGTTTGTAAGTTTATGGGAGAGAATCAGTAAAGGACTAAATGTTACCAATTGTTGGGTGTGTGGGGGAGCTCTGATGACAGAGGAATGGCCATGGAAAGGTAATAGCCTAGGCATGCTTGAACTTCTCAAATGGAACTGAGCTAACATAAAAGAAGAAAGCAGTCCCGAAGGGTGGATTTTGAGTTCCAAAGTAGTAGGAGATGAATGCCTCTGGCATATTGGGAAAAGATTCCTAAAAAGAGTAGGACAAACTTCCTGTAAAAGATACAAAATTTTTCCTGGAACTTCTGTGTAGTAGATCCCTGAAGGACTCACACAGTATTGAGCTCAAGAGAGAAAAAAGAACTGTAGATATAATAAAGAAATTGAACTTTTCTTGTGTAATGATACTAAGAAGAATCCCTGTTCAGGGATTTCTGAATTATCATAATTCTGGAAAAACATAAATCATCAAAGCCATGATTATTGGAAAGCACCAAATGGCCTATTCTGGATATGTGGGAAAAGGGCTTATCCAAAACTCCCTCCCCAGTGGAAAGGAGGTTGCACTCTAAGAATTTTACAGCCAGGATTTTTCCTTTTACCAAGCTGGGATGGAAATAACCTAGGAGTACCTAGCTGTGATGCTTTAAAAAGAAACAAAAGGGAACAAAACTAATTGGAGAGACTGGGAGGACACGCCATCTTTCCTGGGGTAAAGATGAATAGCCTCCTGAATGAATAATACAAACATATGAACCAGCCACCGGGGCCCATGATGGAAGCTAGGGATATCAAACCCCAATTTATATATTAAACTTTATTATAAGACTCCAAGCAGTTGTAGAGATTATAGTGAATAAACAGCCCAAGGCCTGGAATTAATAATCGGTAAGCAAAGACAAACCAGAGCTATAGTATATAAAATTGATTTGCTTTAGACTATTTGTTAGCAGAAGAGGGAGGAAAATTGTGGAAAATTTAACTTATCTGATTGTTGCCTGCAAATTGATGATAACTGGGATACAGTTTTGGATATAGCAAAAGACATTTGGAAAATAGCTCATGTATCAATCAAACAGTGGGAATCTATAATTGATAAAGGATGGTGGGAAGGCTTCTTTAGGACATCCTGGTGGAAAAAAAAAAAAATATTCATAATGCTGTGTGATATAACAAGTTTAATTTTTCTTCCGTGTCTTATTTGCCTAATTACTCATGTAGTTCAAAGTATGCAGGTTGTAACAATGCCCACTAACCCCAAAAAGGTTATGATGCTAAAGAAGAATAATATTAAAAATCTAGAAGAAGCACTCATGATTTATGAAAGGTACAAGTATACAAAGAACATAAAAGCTGAAAATTATAACTCAAGCCAAATATAGTAAGAAAACGCAAAGGGAGGTTAGTTATAAATAGCTATGTAACAGTTGGCTTTTGCTACAATTTATTCACTTTTATTAAAAATTGTAATTGCTTGAAAACAATTGTTTTAAGTTTCTACTGCTCTTCAGGAATAGTAAAATTTGTAATTGCTTGTAAAATGTCTTGTGATTCTTTTCCTCAGGGTTGGGATTAACAAGCAAGAGATAGTTTTCTTGTTTGGACACAGAGATGTTTATTTAGTTTCTTATCTATGTTACATTTTCACAGACTGTGAGTTCTTCAGCACACTAAGCTAACAAACTAAAAATGGAGCCTTAGATTTCTCTTTACAAGGCCTTTTAAGTGTAAACTACCCAATTATAAAATGCCAACTAATTTATTTTTACTTTTAACCTAATAACCAAACACCTGTGTTTCACACTGAAGACTCTTCCACCCAGTCACATATCATCACCCAAACCCATGATGAAGAAGGTGAAAAAGCAAGGCAAACCTATGCCTTAAAACTTCCATTTTGCTACATACATATTACTATATCCTAAAACCTTTAACTCTGTATTTTCCACCATGTGATATAACACACTTCTGTCGTTCTGATTGGGAACGGCGATAAAGAACGACATAGACTCTCAAGGGAGTCACAGCAGGAGAATCTCTCTAGTTTATTGCTCTAGCTTTGTCTTATAGACAGATAGGTAGAAAAGTACAGAAAGGAATCTCTTATTGGTTAGTAAAGTGCTACATCACCATCATTGGTCAGTGGGGCTCACCACCCCCCTGACTCTCTCCTGCAAGGAAAACAAGAGGACAGACAAACAGCACCTGGCAGTTGTTTTCTGTCTCTGAGGATTGTTTTGAAATCCTCCTATGAATTTCCTAGTTTCTCAGGCAGGACTGAGAGGCCATGGGCCTGCAGCCTGCTCCAAAGCTAGCATCCATACACTTCTATTCAAACTACACATTAACAATCTCAGTTCCATTACTCCATTTTGGAAGCATTTTTTACAGCTTCAGGTCAAACATAGTGTTCTCCTGCAGGTCAGTGCCTGTTAGCACAGAAAGCCTGAAATTCTTTGTGCCTAGGGTTCTAACAATCACTTTTGTGCAAAAAAAAAAAAATGGGGAGGGGAAATGCATGAAGGGAGGCTATTATAAGAAGCAAGCATGCTTCTTCTGTGAAAGGCATATCACAAGATATAGCTGCTATTGCAAAATGTATATCCAAGATAGCACAGGCAGAGAACAGAATACCGTAAAAGGAAAATATCAAGTCTAAAGTGGCATCAGAAGACCACCAGAAGACCATCCTAAACTGCCTATGTGAAGAATGTGACAGACCCTCAGGCACTGTAACTGTGGCCATGTGAAATGCTGTAGCAATGTGAGGTGGGGTTGTGATAAAGGGACTCCAAAAACCTGCAAAGTCATTTAAGAAAGTAGTGCAACTGTAATAGTATAAAGGACTGCTGGCTGACAAAGTGGGTGTGTTTCTGGCATTGCCAGCACCTAGCACTGTAGCTTTTGCTATAATAGTTGTCCCTCATTATCTTTCATTAAAGTCTTAAATAGAGGAGTGAGCTTCATTTCTCACATGCATGGTGGTGGGGGATACCCAGCAGGCACTGTCTCCTCAGTGTCCTTCTCCTTGGGTGACATCCCAATGTCTGGCTCGATGGTGGTGTTGACTAGAACGATGGAGCCCTGCTCTGCCAGGACTTCGCTATCCTCCTCCGGGTAGTGGAAAGCCACAAAGAGCTGGTACAGGGATGTGCCCACGGCGGCCCCCAGCAGCGGTGCTACCAGGGGCACCCACCACCATCCATTGCCCCTGCTGAGGATGGGACAGGGTGGGCTGGGGATCACCCCTGCCATCCCCACCTCACCCCCTTCCCTCTACCCACCTGAAGACCTCCAGGCCCCAACCTGCCAGACAGATGAAAAGCCGGGGCCCGATGTCCCGCGCAGGGTTCAGGGGGCAGCCACAGTTGGCCCCCATGGAGCATTCAATGGAGAGCACCAAGAGAGCCACAACCACTGGTTCAAGGCCCTTGGGGACAGCCTTGTTGCGGGTGTCCATGAGGCCCATGACAACCAATATCAGCACCCCTGTGCCAATCACCTGCAAGAACAGTGCAGCAGCTCAGCACTGTGGGGACTGAGAGGGCTGGGGGATCTGACAGTGGCACCCACCTGGTCCAAGAAGCCATTGGCGACGGAGACATAGTCAGCTGGGTAGGTTACAAAGATGGAGGCAGTTTCTCGGGGGCCAAAGGCAGTAAGGGTCCCATTGCTGTAGTGCCAGATGGCATCTGGGAGCAGAGCATGTCAATAAGCCTGGCCACCCCAGCATTACCTTGCCCAGTTGCCTTGTCCAGTGCTGCTCCCCCATACCATAGTAGAGGATGTAAACAGCTCCAGCAGATATGAAAGATCCCAAGGTCTGCACAATCACAAAGATGGGAAACTTCCACCAGGGAAACTGCTCGATCAGGCATATGGCTAAGGAGAATGCCGGGTTCATGTGGGCCCCTGCAATAGAATAGTGAGAAGGGCTGGGACTGGAGGGTGCTGGGGGACTCAGAGCCAGGGGATAGCAAGAGCTGGGACCCCTTCTTCTGTCTCACCAGAGATTCCCCCTGCTACGTAGATGCCTGCCATGACACCCAGGGCGCCTCCCAGGTAGCTGGTGAGGAGGTTCCCCTTCGTCTCAAAGAAGGTGATCTTCTGTGCAGCGCTGCTCAGGGTGATTGTCTGGAGAAGAGGGATGTAGCCCCACCTCAGCCCTGGTGTCCTTGTGCTGAGACCCTCCCACTGCTGATGCTGCAGGGCAGCAAGGCAAAGGCTACACTGGTGCTGACACCCCTGGGTTTTGTTCCCCAATATCTGGACATCCGACGGGGACTGACAGGGAGGTGGTTACTGCCCTCACTTGTAGTTTTGATGGCAAAATAACCAAATAACAAGCAATTAAGTAAGCTGCTTTCTGTGGGGAGGTCTTGGGGAAGAGGTGCCACAACACAGGCCTAGGGACACCACTTGCCATTGTGGGATGCAGCCCAAATGCTGAGAACAGCACCAGAACCCCAACCTTTACCTGCACTGAGGCAGAAGGTACTGAGGCACACACTGCCCAGCACCACACCCTGATTGCACCAGAGCCATATATCACAGGGAGGACCATGCTGTGAGAACAGGGTCCAAGTGGGAGAACAGGCAGTGTTGAGTTGCACATTTGAGTGTGGCACAGCCCCAAATCCCTCCAGTACCAAGGGGCAAGCAGCAGTGCAGCAGTGTTGTAGTGCATCTGAAAATCTTGGTATCTCCCAAGAGTAAAACTCACCTCCGGTTTGTGTAATGTTAGTTCCTACCTGAGAACCTTTTTCCCTTCCCCCTTCCCATTGGCTGTGACCTCCCTGTATCCCCCGATCACCCCTGCCCCCTGGTATAAGAGATAAGACCCAGGGCATTTCGGTCTCTTTCTTGCCCCGGATGGACGACAGACAATAAGCCCGGGATTATTCCAAGCAAGTTTGGGCCTCCTGTGTCTAGATACTTTGAGTCTGTGTTGCATCCACTCCAGGACCCCCTCCACCGCCCGTGTCCAGTGAAGAGTGGGGCTCTCACCACGGGGGGTGGGACAGAGGGGTCCCCCGGAGAGAGGATTGCAATGCAGCAGAACCCTGGAAACCCTGGTACCTGGACCACCCCACCATCAGCCCTGTCCCACCTACATGACCCTCTCTCCCCAGCCACAGCCCCAGCCCACCTGCAGGCCCTGCTTACCATCATCACGAAGGTGGCCAGCAGCTCAGCCAGGCATTCCCGCACCAGCTGATTTCGGATGCGGAGCAGACCCCGGGCCCTTGTCAAGAAAGACTTAGTGCCCATAGTGCTGACCAGGCAGGGGCAGCGATGACAGGACTGGCTGCAGTGGCAGCACTGGCAGCACTGAGTGGAGTAGATCTCTCACTCACATTGATAAGCAGGTTTTATGAGCCCCAGAGCCAGGTGGGTGATAATGCGCAGACTTTAAACCAATCATGGCTGCACCAAGGGAAACGTCTGGTGGGGACCAGAGTCCTGTGCGGGGCCAGGGACACCTTGTGACAATGCTGCACCCCAGCAGGGCCTGGTTGGGTGGGAGCAGTCTGATCCTCAAGTGGCTGTGGGGAGCCAAGACCTCCGTCAGATGAGTAGGCACAGGTATTTCCTGGCCAGGAACCCCCTTTGGCCCTGCCACATCCCTGCCCAAGCCACAGATGCAGTCAACACTAATAAAGAGGTTCTGGAAAGGCCTCTGGGCTGGGCCAGGCCCTCAAGAGTGGCCCAGGTGAGGCATTAGCACAGCACTGGGCAGGGAAATGGGAGACAAAGGTAACAAGGGAGCAGTGCAGGCACAGGAGCCTGGCAACCACCAGCACCCCTAGAGGGAGCCCCTTAGAGTCATCCTGGTGGACAGGGGCAATCTGCCTCCAAATGTGGGAGATTCCAGTCTGAAGGAGCACGGAAGGTCACCATTTAGCATAAATAGACTTTATTGCTCTGTACACACATACACCTGGCCCCCACAGGGGTCCCTGTGGCTCTGCAGCACTGCAGAAGGTGGGCAACCTCCAGCCCAGGCACTTCCCAGCAAGATCTGACCCATCTACAACAAAAACAGGTGGTGAGAAGAGTCTGCTACCCACTGCCTGCTCTGACAGGCCTAGCAAGCCCAGGGTCCCCTGAGCCTGCAGCTGTCAGACATACAGGCTGTTCAGTCAGGACTGGCCACAGCTACCAGCTCGAGAACCAGCGTCGGAAGAAGCTGCCCAACGCAGATGAGGGGTCGCTCAGGTTGACAGCATGAAGCTCATCTTGCTGCGGCCACGTGACAGCGAACTGCGCCAGCTCCCCTGGGAGGGCAGGGAGAACTCTGTCAGTGGGCCCCCGTCCACTCCTTGCATCCTCCCCAGAACCTCACTCACGGTCATCCATGTTGACCACCTCCTCCCGGTAGTCCTTCTTCTGCCCATCCTCCTTGGTGGTGGTGATGAAGGCCTGGTCGCCCCTCCGGCGGGTGACTGTTGTCTCCCGGCGGCCCTGGCTGTCCTGCACAGTGCGGTGCTCCTCTACTGCCTGTGCAGAGTGCCGAGCCCTAAGAGACTCCCCAAGCACAAGGACAGCATCTCAGGTCTCCTACAGCCCTGCTGCACCTGCAGGGAGGGACACTCACCCCATCAGGAAGAGTCACTTTGGTAACAGAGACACTCTGGAAGTAAGAGTGGGACTTGGGCTCATTTGGTCTCAGGATGGTCCCCAGACCCACGGAGGAGACCTGTGAGTCCAGGTCTGTGGGGAGATGTAAGATGGTGGCCACAGCATGGGGACAAGCCCCAGAGGCTGTGGCAACACAGGCAGGTGGAGCAGTGAGGGCAGAGGCCCTCAAGCCCCTGCCCCCAGCACCCACCTTGGTCTTCCTTGAGGCCAGGAGGAGCCCGGTGAGCATCTCCCAGCTGCAAGACAAAGCCACATACCACTGATGCCAGTGACGGAAGGTAAAACACTGGGGCAACACTCCAACAGCACAGAGCTGGCTACTGTTGTTGAGCCTACAGGAGGCAGACCCCAGATCCCTCACTCACCCCTAAGAAGGGTCTCCATGGCCGGGCCAGATCGCCGGCACCCCCGGAGCTCCCCGGGGCTGCGCGGGAAGGGGGACTGTCCGGCTGCTTCAGCATCGAGTCCCGCAGTGGTCGCCTTGCGCTGCCTTCACCGGGGCCGGGCACGGCGGGCTCTGGGCAGCAGAAGGGCGTCGGTCAGGCCGAGGGGCTCTGAGCGGCCCCAAGAGTCACGCTCAGCCCTTCCCGTACCCACCGAAAGGCTGCTGGGGCTCGGGCCAGAAGCCGCCCAGGACCCCTAGGAGCTCGCCCATGTCCCGGAATAGCTCCTCGAAGCCGCCGCGGGACGAACCAGGGCTGAATCCGAAACCGAAGTCCTGGGGGGGCTGCGACATGGACGGTCCGCCATCTTCCTCCTCCTCGTCCCACACCGCTCTGCGGGACCGCTGCAGTGAGACACCCGGACAGCCCGGAGCAAGCGGGGAGGGCCGGGGCCGGTGGGACAACTGGGGGTTGAGAGAGGGGCAGGGTTTGTGTAGGCGGGGCCCGGGTCCCGGGTACCTGCACCGTCCCGGGAATCCGAAAAAGCCGCGAAACATGTCGAAGAAGCTCATCCCGCTCCGGGTCCCTCCGGGTCCCGCTCCTCTGTCCTGCCGTTGCGACCGGGCCGCGCGGCCGTAAAGCGCCGCGGCCGTAAAGTGCCGCCGGGTGTCGCGAGGCGCCGCGGCAGCGGG